GCGCCCTTAAGACATGGCTCTTCCAACAAGCAGGACTGGCCTAAGGGGAAATTTTAGTGGGGTTTTAAAAGCAATTTTAAAAATTAATAAGGCCAAATGTAATATTTCATCTTAACTTTGTTTTAATGATAGTTTTTGGGGTATTTTTGTAGTTGTTTTTATCAGGCTGTCAGCCGCCCTGAGTCCGCAAGGAGAAGGGCGGGGTATAAATTCAAATAATAAATAAATAAATAAATACATATTTCTCTAGTATATTTTCACATATTTGCAAGACCACATGTGATAAAATGAAACTGGATTTTGATTACATTTCCAGCACTTATTACAAATCCCTTTATACATTTTCGCTAGACTATCTAGGGCATGGATAGGCATGCCACCCAAATCTCAGATCAAAACCTTCGAGGTCTAACAGCCTTGAATTTTTTAGTTATCCAATCTTTTAACCATACCAGACAACAAGCATCGTAATATAATCTAAGATCCGGCAAACCCAGACCTCTATCTTTAGAATCTTATAGCAGCTTATATTTAATTCTTGGTTTTTTTATTTTGCCAAATAAATTTAGATATATCTTTCTGCCACTGTTTGAAAGTAGAATCTCTAATCAATATCAGTATAGTCTGAAATAGAAATAACATTCTAGGTAGTACATTCATTTTAATTACTGAGATTCTTCCTATTAATGACAAATCTAATTTTTGCCATCTATTTAAATCCAATTTTATCTACTTCCATATTTTATCGTAATTATTGTTGTAAAGCTTAGAATTTTCCTCAGTAAGAGTCACTCCCAAGTACTGTACCTTTTTCATGACTTTAAAACCAGTTTTAAATTCCAATTTCTTCTGATCTTCCACCTTTATGTTCTTAGTATTGTCGTCATTTATTTATTTAATCTCAAACCCGCCATTTCTCCAAACATTTTAATTTTCCTCATAACATATTCAATGTTCTCTAGCAGGTCTTGCACAATTAGTACCAAATCATCAGCAAATGCATGTAATTTGTAATTATGCACTTTAATTTGTAATCCTTTTGCTCTGTTATCCTGTCTAATATCTCTATTTAACAGTTCGAACACTAGAATAAATAATAAAGGGGATAAAGGACACCCCTCTCTTGTTCCCTTCTGGATTTCAACTGGTTTTGTCAAGTCTTCATTCACCATGATTTGAGCTTTCTGGAGTGTATAAATGGACTTTAGACTCTGTATAAAGCCCAATCCAAAATCCATCTTTTCCACTACTCTAAACATAAAGGCCCAGTTCAAACTGTCCACAGCTTTTTCTACATCCAGAAAAATTAATGCAACCTGTTTGTCGCTATGTTGTCGTAAATATTCAATTATATTCAAAATTACTCTTACATTATCTTTTAGTTGTCTTTTAGGTAACAACCACACTGATCTTCATATATGTAATCCTGTAAAAAATGTTTAAGTCTTTCAGCTAAAATAGATGCAAAGAGTTTGTAGTCATTATTAAGGAAGAGATTGGTCTGTAGTTTTTCACAAAATTTAAATCCAGTCCGTCTTTGGGTATTAAAGAAATGTAGGCATCCTTCCAAGAGTCTGGTATAGGATTCCCCTGTAAAACAGAATTCACTAAGTCCTTCATCAGAAGAAGTAATTGACCTTCAAAAATTTTATAGAATCCGCTAGGTAGGCTACCTAGTCCTGGAGTTTTGTCTGTTTTAGCTCTTGTAATTGTTTCTATTATTTCAAAAGTTGTTATTGGACTGTTCAAAATTTGCTTGTAATTTTCCGATAATTTAGGAAGATTTTTAAAGAGATTTCTTGTTCTTTATATAAATTAGTCTAATAATTCCAAAAAAGTCTTTGAATGTTTTTGTTATCCATGTAAGTCTTATTCCCCTCTTGAAGCTTGGTTACCATCTTCTTTTCAGTTTGTTTTCTTAGTTTGTATGCCAACCATCTTCCTGGTTTATTTGCATGTTCAAAAAGTGTTGTTTTGAATATTTTAAGTTTCTTTTCAATATCTGAAACAGTCAGTAAAGAAATTTGTTGTTGCAATATTTTTAGTTGATTAAGTATGTTAGAATCTTCTGGTGAGTTCTGAAATTCCCTCTCCTTCAATTTAATTTCTTGTAACATATTTTGGATTTTTTCATCCATCTTCCTCTTAATTGCTGTATTGTATTGTATAAAGTGTCCTCGTATCACAGCCTTACTAGCATCCCAAATTGTTTTTAAAATAGTTCCCTTACCTAAATTATTATTAAAATAGCCTTGAAGTACCTGTTTACATTCTTTAACAATCTGCAAAATAGACTCATTTAATCTCCATTTAAAGACCGAGGACCAAATTTAAGATGTAAAGAAAGTGGATTATGGTCAGAAAATTTTTGGAAGAATAATGTCCTTAGTTGCTCTATGAAGCAGATTTTTTGTAATCCAAATCATATTAATTATAGAAAAAGATTTGTGTCTCTTTGAAAAAAAGGTAGTCTTTTGTTAGTCCATTTTTACACCTCCAAACATCGATCAAACCTAAAATATCGGTCAACTTGAAAAAAGTTGGGGGCAGTTTCCCTTGTGTTTCTTTAATTCCTTTATCAGTTGATGTGTCCAATTGTGGAGTTACTACCCCATTGTAGTTTCCAATTACACACCAATACTAAAAAGGAGAGTAAGTGTTCAGACAGATGTTTAAAAAAACTTAGCTTTTTCTTGGTGTGGGGTGTATAATCCCACCACAATGGGTTTTATGCCCTGTAATTTAGTTTGCACAATTACATACCTGCCTTGATTATCAGCAAACAATAAATGTGGATGTAGTTTTGGGTTTTATATACAAAACTACCCCATTAATTTTTTTCTTTGAATTAGCAGAAATAAATTCCAGACCTAAGGCATTATTTGTTAAATACTTTTTGTCAGACTCTTTAATGTGAGTTTCCTGCAAACATATCATGGTTCACTTTTTTTCAAATAATGAAATAACTTTTTTCTCTTTTGTGTGAATTTGCCCCATTAACAATCCATGTCAAAAATCTTGCAATCCATCTGTTATGAAGAGGAAGTTCCAGGGATTCCAACTGAGGCTCCCATCTCCACAGCCTGTCCTTGATAAGTCTCAAGCCTCTTTTTATCTTTTTCTTTATGATCTTTATCTTTTGAAAAATAAGGTAGTTCCGATCCATGTTTTTCCAAAAACTCTTGTGCTTTAAGGGCTGAATTTAGTCTATATCGTTGATTTCTAAAGATAAAAATAACCTCTTCCAGCTTATCCTAGCAATTTTGTTTCAGGAGATCTGTCAGGAAAAAGTATTCTTTGTTTCCTTAATATTGGAATTTCTCTGAATATTTGCACCTCTTTTCCAGAAATGTTGAATCTCTGATGATAAGTTTCTGGAATTACTTGCTCTTTAATAGATTTTATTATAAATTGGATCATAACATCTCTTGGCAGTTGTCTTCTGGCTGTATATGCTGAGTTTATTTTGTAAATCTTGTCTATTTCTTTACAGAGATCTGCTTACTCATCATTAAACCGTTTAGTCATTTCTGTTAGAATTACATCACTTAAATTATGAATTTGTACAGGGATTCCCCTGTGATGCAGAAAAACTTCCTTCTGTTTCAAATCCTGTAACAGTAAATGTTGGTTAAGAAGGCCTAACCTTTTCTGTCTCATCCAATCTAATCTGTATATTTTTAACACTTTCTTTAGTTTGCTTTAGCTCTGATACTAATAATTCAAATTTTTATCAGATTTTTCATTTATCTCTTTTATTGTGCCATGTAGCATAGAAAACTTTTTCTCAAATACGTTCAAAAGAAATTTGGTGGTGGGTTCGTCCAAATCACATCTTAATTCCTTCAATTCCTTCTTAGAAGGCATTTTTGCCAATATCCTCTCATACAGCCAGTTGCTGGCAGCAGGAAAGAATACACTATTCTCTTTTCAAAGTCAAATAAGTTCCAAAAGCAAAACTAAGCAGCTGGCAGTAGAAATAGTGTTGATATACAAACTCACAGAGTAGAGGGGGAAAAAAGAGGTTTCTAAACTTTTAACATAGAAAGCCAAGAATTATATGCAGAGTGCAGAAAAAATAGAGTAAGATATAAAATCTTTTCAAGTTGACAATATATTTTATCTTTTTGGTAGAAGTTCAATATAATTAAATCAGTAGCTCATTTTCTCAATAATCTAAAAAAAAAACCCTTATTGCCATGTGTCTTTTTCATACAGAATGATTAATTGTTTTAAGACACTCCTCTGCTGTTATTAAATCAATTAGAGTTCATGAGAAAGGAAGATATCTAAATTCCAGCACACTGCCAGGAATTAACATGCAAAAAGTAAAAAGAAAAGAAAAACCACTGCAAAACATAAAGTTAAAACAAAAGCGTCTTTGAAGACAACGGCTGGGCGGACATGGTGTCAATCCTCTTCTTTGGCAAACTTATCAGGGAGAAAAAACTCGCTGAATATTCACACACACACACACACACACACACACACGGCCAAGGAATGCCATCCAAGAAGTTTCAGGGTGATTCCATACCACTCCTTTTCTAATCCAGGAGTGAAGTAGCTACAGAGACGTGCTCTGTAGGTATCAAACCAGCCAAAGATATGTGCTGCTAATTCAGAGCACCATACTGGGTGGCATCCAATACTGCTTTTATCTTTAGCTATCAGACCTGGCATTTACTCATATAAGGGACAAAAGGAATGCTGCATAAACTTTTCCTATGCCACCTTTGGGAACATGTTCTTCTGTAAATGGCCATGTTCTCCAATGATGCTTGGGGAAAAAAATCTGTGCAGAAAAACTGGACAAGAGAGAGTATACTTGAGATGTTTGTTCAAATGAGAGGGAACTATGGGGACAAAAGCCAGGCCTATAGCTCTTAAAGTTAGACTGTTTCTGCTGCAAAATACCTGCCTGCTTAACTTTGGGGAGGAATAAACTGACATCTACAAGACTTTTGTGTCTGCCTCCATTCTCAGAAGGAAAAGGTAATCCAACAAAAATTTGAATAGACTCCATCGTATATCATTTTGTTTATGTTGCCTATGAAATGTTTCTCTTGTTTTCTCAGCATGATGGGAAACCTTATTGCAACTACCCCTGCTATGCTGCACTGTTTGGACCCAAAGGTAGGAGCCAGCAAGAGGATGTTATTGTATAAACTAGCTACCTACATACACACATACACACACACACACATACACGCATGCATAATTAGAAACTATACATAAACACAAATACACACACACACATATTCCCAAATAGGCCTATTATAGGTAGCCATCCAGAGCCATGTGATAGTGAGATGGGCAACATATAAATTTAATAAATAAATAAATGTTAATACATAAATAGCATTTCTATCTGGCATCATTCTAATGTCACACTGTTGGTGTGCCTCATCTGAAATAAGGATCGGCAGGCCAGCCAAGTAGAATTTCACTCATTTTCTCTTCAATATGAGTTTATAATAGTACATTTGACTCATTTGCTTAACAATGTGTATATTATTTCAGATGCATTTCTACATATCTTTTGTAAGGAATGTTTCCTTACATAATGTATTTCTAAACAAATTTTGAATTGAGAATTCAGCCATAACATTTGAAACATTGCTATTGTAATATAGAGAGATGATTTATTCCGAATTCTATGTACTGTGTTTGGGTTGGAAGCATGTAGAAATCTTGGATAAATGGAATACTTCTGTTACTTAAAAATTAGCATAAATAAATCCTAATAAATAAAAATAGCATAAATAAAACAAAACATTTTATGTAAAAGCTGGCTACTAAATACTGGGCAATTCCATGTTGTGTTGCAAAATGCTCCAGCTTTCTAGCAGTTCAAAAGCCCTGTCTATGGCAGTTTTCATGGTCACTATTTTTTGAGTTCTTAATTTTTCTTATTCTAACCTATGGGAAAGAATTAATTAAAGCAGGCCAGTAGCTGTTTTAAATTTCCACTGGGTCAGTAGCATAACTGAAGTCTGGGAAAGATCTGTAAATCTTTTGCATTCCCACCCTTTGCTCAATTACTTTTGTGAGATTTTAAGGCTTTTTAAGAGATGAAAAATCAGAGAGATTAGCTGGAAGGGAGAAAGATCTGGTATGTCAGTTTTTTCTTCTTAGGAGTTGGAACCATCTTAATGATCTTGAAGATGGAACACTACCAAATCTTATACGGCACAGTATTTCCCCCCCTTATTTTCCTGTTCAGTTATGATGTGAATTGAGGTTTGGTATAAAGCTGGAAATTTTGCTTTACTATACATATTTTTCTCAACTATTTGGCTGAAGTTCTAGAAAAACAGACAAATGTTAGCAACACTGATGTATTCTGTTCATTTTAGAGATTGGGATTAACCTTGCCAAATAGAAAGCTTGTTTTGATATTCCTATATATTTCTAATAGGAAATTTTACAAAAGGCATGGCAAATTTCTGCAAAGTAGAATTTTTCCACTGTGAGGTGGCAGATTCTATGTAGTGCATGTTCACCAAGACAATGTCACAGAAGTCTTGCATTTATTCAAGCTATTGTTATGTTCTTGCTGCCAAACTACAAATGTAGCAGTCTGTTGTTATTTAATAGGAAGTTTCAGTCCATTTAAATACACTCTGATGTCCTTACTACAGAAGAGAAGAGGTTATAGTTGACTCTACCTAAAACAGGAAAATATTTTTCTCTATATCTGGAAGGTATAGAACAGTGGCTCCCAACCTTTTCTATATCCCGCACCCCTGGAATGCTTCTGATTATGTTCTTGCACCCCTTACAAAAGTTTGAAATAATGGCAACGAATTATGCATATATACTATATTTTTGAAAACCCAAGTTTTCGCACCTCCTGGAATATCATCTTGCACCCCCAGGGGATGGGAGCACCCCTGGTTGGGAACCTCTGGTATAGAAGAAAGAAACAGAAGCTAAAAGGTCTTACCTAGCATTTAGCATCTTTTCTCCTATTTTTTTCCCCGGTCCATTGTGTAGTACAGAAACCTTAGCTCTTCCAGTATTTTATCTCAAAGTGGAAGAGAAGCACTTGTCTTAGTCAGAGATGGAGAGGTGCCATTAAAATCTGTAATGCTGACATTAGATTTTTTTTTTTAAGGGTTTGGCCGTGGAGGTGCTGAAAGCTACACTTTCAATTAAAACTTGGTGAGTCCCATTTTTTCCATTAATAGCTCCATGATTAGAAAGCTACATGTAAACTAGCCTTGCGGGCTAAGTCTTGTTCTTTTTGGTTTTGCTTATCATGTTATCTTTTCCTTCTTAGGAGTGGAAGGATGAATTTTGCTGATTCCAGGTGGAGTTCATAAGAAGTATAACCACAATGTGTTTTCCCTAGAAGTGAATATAATGGTGACTTCAAAGGAGGGGGGATGATAATTGAATGGGGGTTTCCTCTTTAACATCAGTTGAGAAATATAATCATGTAGAAACTAGGAAATAATAGCATTGGGGGCATCATAGAAAAGCACGGAAGTTAAAAAAAAATCAAAGCCTGATTTAGATCTTTTCTTTTATTATTTTTCTAACTTACAAATAAAATCTTAAATCAAAAGAGACTTGCAGAGTTTCAATGAATCAGAAAATGGACATAAAAATCTGGGAAACATTTACTGATGTTCGTTAAGAAAGAATTTCAGAATTAAGAATTTAAATTCTTTAAGAAAGAATATCCAAAAATGTCTTCAGAATTATTTTTAGTGAACTCATGTGAAATGAACATATTTTTAGTGAACTCATGTGAAATGAACATTTTTTTAGTGAACTCATGTGAAATGAACGCTTATTGCATCCAGTGAAACTTGCATTTTGAATTTATAAATTTGCAATTCAGACTGAAATCCATTGGGAAGCAATTGTTTGATTGTATAATCAGCAACCAAGTACATAATCTGCAGAGCATAGATGTATATTTGTGTTAAAGCATTCCGAGAGAGGCTGGTTGTTCATTTTTACTCAGCACTAGCAAGCTGTTTAATTTACTGTACAATATATATATATTGCAGTGGGTATAATTTGCAGTAGAAAACAAGTGAGGATAATATATTGTTTACCTGACTCTCCCTTACCTTCTTTAGCTCCTTTTCCTCGATATATTTTTCCATACTTATATTTAGGCAAGTCTAGGCCTCTAGTAAGGTTAATATGGGTTTGACTCTATATTGAAGCTGAAAAGTGTATGGCAGTAGCAAGGCCCCCACCCAAAATGGCCCCAAATACGCAGTAATGTAACTATGTTTTAAGAAATAAAGTATATGGTATAAGAAGTCTATTATGAAATTTATTGATATTTTCATTTCATTTAAGTTAACCAAATTATATGAAAGTAGTTCAGATGAGAGCTGTTGTAATGAATTTAAGAAACAATTCTTTCCTATTCAGTAATTTAAACAATCAAGATATATTTTGTGAAAGGATGTTCCCATTCTTGTAAAAGAAATGCAAAAGACAAACAAAGTGAAGCTATTTCTGATTGGAATTTTAGCATTTGGTTTTCAGATATCTCTGCCCTGGTATTTTCTTTAATTCTTTCACTGACTGAATGTCTTGGAATTGGATTTGCCTCCATTTGCTATAATCTTCATTTGTGCTCTTAATTTAAGAAAGATGGGCATGTCATTTATAAACAGATTAATACATGTACTTGCTCACTGAAATAAAAGGGCATCTGAATTCTATCTCTACTAATTGCTTAAGAAATTTGTCAAATGTTTTAAAAATAGCCAAGCAATGCAAATTTAATACAGATTTAGTACTAAATACTATAGGCAATACACCTGTATCCTCTCGGTCCTGTATACCCTAGGATCTGTCGGAGGAAAAGGCAGTTCCTCCTCATTTCCACTCATTGGTTGCAGCTGCACCCCTTTCCCACTCTCTGCTTCTGGCTTGTCTTCCAAGCTTCTTGGCTGAGGCTGCTCATCCAATCAATCCTCTGGCCCTTCTGAAATTTCTGGTGTCTCCTACTCTTCCTGCTCCCCATACCCCCGCCCCAGCTCCCAAGTCCCGTCCCCCCCTCCTGTGCTCCCAAGTTCCTGAAGCAGGCTCTTTCTTGTTATCCAAACCTGCTTGGGGGGGGGCATTCATGACAGCATGAAAACTGATTGAGTGATTTTGGGCCAATCACTGTCTCTTAGTTCAGCCTAACTCACAGGGTTGCTGTTGTGGGGAAAATAGAAGGATCCAGGAGTATTAGGTATGTTTGCTGCCTTTAAAATATATGTACAAAATATGACATAAAAGTCTAATAATACTACTAAGCCTGCGGTTCATTGAAATAGCTGGTTTGGGAAGTATGCCTCCATATTGCAGCCACTTAAGCTTATTTATGAAGGTTAACTGGGATATCCTGATACAACAAAGAACTTTCCATTACATGTTTTACCTCAGTCCTTCATTCCTCTGATCTCTGGAAAAGAACTGATGTGGTTCCCACCTTCAAAAAAAGGGGGGGGGGAATGGATCCAGAAAACTACAGACCAATCAGCCTGACATCAATACCTGGGAAGATACTGGAAAAGTTAATCTGTGAACACCTAGAAGCAAGCAAAGTTATAACCAGAAGCCAATATGGGTTTGTCAAAAACATCATGCCAAACAAATCTTATTTCATTCTTTGACAAAGTGACTAAATTAGTGGAGGAGTGAAATGCAGTAGATATAGTCTCCTTGGATTTCAGTAAGGAATTTGACAAAAAAAGTAGACAAAAAATCCATCCTAACTGCAATTAAGTCAATAAGTCAATACAGTGCAGTACCCTAATGTTCTGTTTTAGGCCCACTACTCTTCAATATCTTCATAAATGATTTAGATGAGGGAACAGAAAGAAATTTGCAGATGACACCACATTGGCAGGAATAGCCAACTCCCCAGAAGATAGGCTCAAGATCCAGATGGATCTCAGACTTGAACACTGGACCTTATCTAACAAACTGAAATTCAGTCTAGAGAAAAGTAAGATTTTACACATAAACAAGAAAAATGAAATATATAGGTACATATTAGATGAAACCTGGCTCAACCGGAATGGGACCTTTAGGGTCCCACCCTTGGCCATGCCTCCCCCTCCCTCCTCCCGCCTCAGCCCATTTACCTCCAGCGTTCCTCCTTGGCTGGCCCACCCCTGGCCATTCTCCCTGGCCAATGGGTCCCTTCTGCCCCACGCCTGGCCCTTTTGCCAAGGAACCCTTTGTCCCAGGCCTTTGGCTGGACGGGACAGATAGCTGCCAGCCAATCAGGTGGGTGGCAGGCAGCAGTCATGGTGCTGGGGCAGCGTGCGATGGGTGATCGCAGGGACTGTTGTGGGGCAGCAGGCCAACGGCAGGGCTGGCGCAGCTCCTGCCATTGCGGGGCAGGGGGAAGCCTGGTGGGCAGGAAGGAGACAAACTGTGCTGACGTGGCTCCTGCCATTATGAGGGGGGGGGAAACTGGTGTGTGGCAGCAGGCCAACTCCCTGTTCAGTGTGAGGCCAGAGTCCAGGAGTAGAGGCAACGGAAGGGAGGGTGGAAGAAAAAAAGGAAGCTGGTGCTCTGCAGGCTTTTCTTTAAGCTTCCCATTTTGACCACTCCCACCTGTTGCCTCTGCCTGGACTCCAGCCTGAAGGGCTCTCAGTTCACCTCTCCCCACTTTTTCCCTCCGTTCATCCAGTCTGGTTTCAGTCCTGTTTCTTCCTAGCCAATATCTGGTCCTTGGTCACCTGTAGGATTCCCCACCCCACCCTGCCCGCCTGCCCTTCTGCTGCTGATTCAGGATTTTGGAGAATGAAGTGTGAACCGACATCTTTGAAGGCCTGTGGCTTGTAGTCAGCTATGGAGAATGGCCTGTCTAGGGGAGAAAGCAAGCAGGAGGTGGGTTTGTAGGTGTGCGTATGTGCGCATGCAGGGGTCTGCCCTCGCAGCCATCAACAGAGGATTGGAAGACACACACACACACACACACACACACAGAGGTAATGCTATGTAAACCGCATTGGTTTAACACACAACATGTCCCGTCCCCCCAATTTCCATTCTTTGTCTGGAATGCAACCGGCCACAACACCCATCGGGACTAGCTTTTCCACCCTCTCCAAACTTTTTTGCCAGTGTTTCTCAATCTTGGAAGGAGGGAGGGATGGAGGGATGGGCTGGCTGCCAAAACAAAGCAAGATTATGGCATACACTTGAAAGGAGATCAGGAAGTCTAATTGGGGAGTTTGGCAAGAACAAAAAATGCTTATTCACAGGGAATACTGTATGCATGTGTAAAGCTTTTAACAATTCTGGGTGGTTAGAAAGCTGGTAAAAGTAACAAAGACTTAGGCATCTTGCAAGCTCAGCTAAAAGTTAGGAATAGAGATGGCCTGGAGGAAATAGGATGTGTATTAGATAACTCCTGAAGCATTCATTAGCCAAGGCTTAAGAATAGGACGGCTAGAGACCACTAGAACAATTGTTAGATCATTATTGAAATGTTTATTAGATGTTATTTCTTATATATCCCGCCTTATCCCGCCTTATCCCGCCTACTGCTTTAGTGAAAATGCATAAAGCTTTCTTAATTCTGTGGTTCGAGGTTCCTTGGCATTTGGCCAGGATCCCTTTTCTTGGAGTGTTTCAATAAAATAAAACAAAGCCTGCACTTTGTGTCTGGTGTTCTTTACTGGCCTCAGCACCAGGCTCAGACCAAATTGAAGACAACAGGAGGAAGGAAGGGTGAGAAAGAAGAAGAGGAAGGGTGGGAAGGATGGAAGGGTGGGAAGGATGGAAGGAACTCAAAGCCTTCTGCAGGAACCTCAATTTTCATATCTTGACATCAAGATATACAGAGGAAATTGAAACTTTCAGGATGGAGAGATAGAAGAGTCCCCCTTTGCAGATGAGAGAAAATATCAATTATCAAATAAACTAATGAAAGCTGGGGTTTTTTTAGTGCTTGTTTCTTTTTCACACCTATTACTACTTCAGTGATGTGTGCTCAAGGGACTGTGGACTGCACATCCCCCCCAACTTGATGCATCCTAGCCCCTCCCAGCTCCCACCCCTTGCCCCATGGAAGGCTGAAAGAAGCTGCCATCCCAGCTTCTCCACTCTCCCATTCTTTTTCTCCCCAATATTTATGCTTGCCTCTATGTCTTCCCTCCTCACCGCCCGTCTTGTAGCCTTTTGTGGTGATTCCCCCCCCTTTTTTTCAGTCTCTCAATTTCCTTTTGAACAGAGCCTACATGTCAAGATCCAGCTGCTGCCCAAGGTCCCTCCCAGCACCCCAGAGATCACAGCCGCAAAACACCACACCAAGGCCCTCAGCTAGCCTGCCTGCCTGCCTGCCTGCCTGCCTGCCTGCCTGCCTGCCTGCCTGCCTGCCTGCCTGCCTGCCTGCCTGCCTGCCTGCCTGCCTGCCTGCCTGCCTGCCTTCCTTCCTTCCTTCCTTCCTTCCTTCCTTCCTTCCTTCCTTCCTTCCCAAGATTGAGAAACACTGGCAAAAAAGTTTGGATAGGGTGGAGAAGCCACAACCGATGGGTGTTGTGGCCAGTTGCATTCCAGACAAAGAATGGAAATTGGGGGGGGGGGGATATGTGTGTGCCTAAGGGTGTTAAACCAATGCAATGTTTACATAGCATTACCTCCATGTGTGTGTGTGTGTGTGTATGTGTCTATGTGTGAATAGAGGACAGATTCTTTCCACCACCACCACCCCCTCAGTAACAGAACATGTTACAGCTCTCTTCCAATCCTCTGTTGATGGCACGGGACTGCGAGGGAAGACCCCTGTTTGCTTTCTCCCCTAGACAGGCCATTCTCCATAGCTGACTACAAGCCACAGGCCTTCAAAGATGTCGATTCATATTTAATTCTCCAAAATCCTGAATCAGCAGCAGAAGGGCAGGTGGGCAGGGTGGGATGGGGAAGATACAAAGATAATTTAACATTAGAAAGGGGGTAGAGACAAGGAAGGAGACATAAGGCCTAGAATGGGTTAGCAAGGTGGTCGATCATTGGGAGGGGAGGGGAGAGCAAACTTGGTAGAGAAAGCAAAAATCATTTAGATGTGTTTCACCAGTGGAGCACCTGCTTTGTAGGGGTCCTACAGGGGACCAAGGACCAGACATTGGCTAGGAGGAAGGGGGACTGAAACCAGACTGGATGAACAGAGGTGAAAAGGGGGAAGGGAGAGGTGAGCTGAGAGCCACGCAGAGGCCTGTCAGGCTGGAATCCAGGCACAGAGGCAACAACAGATGGGATAGGTCAAAATGGGAAGACCCTGCCCACCGCTGCTTGCCTGTTGCCCTCTCTACC